AGTTACAATTAGGAACAGAACAATTCACTCATTTGAATCAAATCGGAACTCAGTCAATTGAATTTACTTGCTTTTTTATATCGCCAAAATACCAAGTTTAAATTTAGTTCAAAAGAATTCATCAAAATGTAAAGCACATGGTTGTTAAAATAGGAATATAGATAAATTGATAGATGAAACTTACCCCTTGTAGCAAAGGAGATCATGATGTCAGCTGTGCCTTTGTTGATACGAGTGAATCTCAGAGGAGTGACATTGGCCCAGACCTGCAGGGCTTTCTTTATGGATTCATCCACTTCAGGTATTGACATGTCAGGGGTGTAGTTCACGATTCTGTGAAAAAGGGCCATAATCTGTATCTGCTTCTTTCACTCTTTCTTTTTCCAGTCATGCAAAGAGATCTGCTATTACACACACCTGTAGGTGAGCTTGTTTTTCTGCCATTTGGGTTTGCCTTCAAATGTGGAGTACGCAGCAACATCTGGAACTCCACAGCGGGGCTTCTTCATCACCTCCAGTGTTTCTTTATTCAGAGTTCCAGTGACCTTAAGCCCGAAAAACTTCTGCATCTCTTTCAGCTTATCGGACGGTGGATCGATCTCTTCTTCTGGGCGAAAATGAGTAGTGCCCATTAAATTTTCCAGATTGTAGAATTTTCTCAGGTAATCCTAAAAGGCAAACAAACATGTAATTATTGGAGAAATTATGGCCAGTTGCAAAGCATACAAACAAGTATTATATGAGGGAAAAAAACATACCCTTGCAATGGCTTTATTTTTGTCAGCAGGCTTTAAAATCGGTCCAGCGTGAATAGCAAGCACCAAGCTCGCAAGAAAACACAGCTGGCGGCGAATCCCCATGTTGAGAGTTGCTTCTTCTGCTTGTGTGCTTCGCTTCTGATTGACAAAGGTCTGATGACGACTTATATACTCTTAAAACTGTGAGGTGTTGAGCAACAGGTGAAATTAAACCATCAAACTGACAGGCAAGGCAATTATAACAGGATTTTCAGCTTGACACAGCCTCTTCCTCCTCGCCCAGATATTAATATTATTTCTCTTTCTCATACCTTTATTTAACAGCAACATTTTTTTAGCATTTCTGTGTTTTATCAACACAAACAAGAGCAAACTTTTGTTTATGTTTTTAAATGTTACGATAAAAAAAAACAGTATAACATTACAAGCATTACCAGGGGTATAAAATACTTAGTTAGTACAAATGAGACTTGATTACTGTACTTAAGTGTTATTTTGGGGGATGTGTACTTTACTCAAGTTAAGTCCTATTTATAATGACTTCTTGTACCTTTACTTGATTACTGTACATTTCTGAAGAAAAAAATAGTACTTTTTACTTTTTACAGTTTTATGGTAACTTGTAAAGTACTCATTACATTTTTGCATTTAATTTTTCTTCTGCAAAGGCATTTGTAGTTTCAGCTTCAGTTATAACTTTCATCATGGAAATTTCTGGCTTCAAAAGTAGCCATCAAATCTGAGGAGGAATACTGAGACAGCAAAGTTGCTTTTTTCCCCAAAAAGTTTCTTGATTATTTTTGTCCAAATCGAATGAACATTATATGTTCAATTAATCATACATCAAGTTTAGTGATGGGTCTTAGAAGGAATTGGATAAATGGCATTATAATGATTTATTGATATTACATGATTTGCTCAATAATTAATTAATCGTAAATAATTACATACCAATATTTGCTGAGGAAAAAAAAACCAATGCCCTAAAAACAATTTAAGGACTAATTATTGTTACAGACAGGGGCGCTACATAGACAACACAAAAACTGGCTTTTTCAAGAAGTCAGTATTGTATGTTTAAATTGTCACAATTTTCTATTTACATATTTTATTTAGGTATATGTTTTACTTATAAAAGCATTGTTTTAACAATATTTTACCTTAAAAGTAAACATAATGCCTTGTTAAAAATAATACACAGTTGCAGCATATATAAGGTAACAAATTCATACTTTTATCTTCTAGTTAAAATTAGATGTATTGCCTCTAAAAATGTTATATTAATGATTATAAATTAAAAAGTAACTTCAATGCTAAAGTAACCTGGTAAAGTAGTCTGTTACTACATTAAAACATTTTTATTCTATGAAATACTGAAACATCCAAAGAAGATAGCAACACTTAAAAGACCTCCTCTCACATCCTGAAATAGAATTTTTTTTATCTTTATTCACTTATAAAATGGTAAATGTTGCATTTTTTAGGGTTAGGATTTCCGTTAGAGTTTGGTTGCACTAATTGCTATTTGCTTGTTTGTGTAAAGAGAGTGAGGTGTGCTTGAGGTGTTATGTAAGATCTGCAGGTAACGCCAGCTGTCTTCACTCTTTATAGTCAGAGGAATGAGTAATACTTTATAATGAATACACCAATGACTGAGACTTTCAAAAATGCATAAGCACTATAAAACTATCATGAAAGTGGTCCATATGACTTTTAAGCACTTCTGAAACCATATGATATTTTTGTGAGGAAGAGACAGAAATGTATGTCAGTAATTCAACATCAAGTGGGACGCCCACTGTGTGCAGAACTGCAGAAACAGAAGTTTCTGCCTCCAGAAGTTACTGTTTCACTTTTACACTTTACAGACATTTAAAAAAAGAGGGTTGATGGTGGGAGCATGTGAAGACATGGATATCCGAGCAGATTACGGATGGTAGAATTAGACAATGCGAGTTAGGCAGGGACTCAGATGAGTCAGGAGGACAGCAAAGAGGAGATTCCGGATTTGGGTGACATAGATATATGGAGAATGGGAACATCTTAAACTGTCATTAACGTGGCATCGCCCTTGAAAAACAATTGATGTGTCCAAGTAGTGATAACTGCAGGCTGGAGCAGTGAGCGTGGCGGAAGATTAGGGCATGGGGCGTGGATAAAGGTCTTTCTCATTGGTTAGGTTTAGGGTTAGGGGTTAGTTTCTGTATAGCGCACCTTTTGCCATGCTTCCCCTCTCGATGTGTCCTTTGTTTTTGATATCTTTTCCCATACGCAGGACTTTTTTTCTGTGTAGGTGGGAAGGAAATGTTTGAAGGAAATGTTAAAATAACTATTATATTATACTATAATTAAATTATTGCCTAAGTTTATCATAGCACCTATACACATTTATTGTATCTATCACTATAATAATCATGTATTTTTTTTTTATTTTTTTGTATGTGCCTTTGATTTTTTCCTTTTTATAAGTTATTTTGTCATATTGTGTTTACATAAAAACAACATTTAAAAACAAAAAATAAAAGGAAATATTTCTTGCCTTGAATATGTGGGTATTTAAGAAAAGATTATATGTACTAAAAATACATCTACACCAAAATATTTTATATTATCATTAAATATATAAAGATTTTTAGTAGTAGTAATATTTTAAATAGGTGTTAGATATTTAATAATAATATAATACAATATATATAGTAAAAAAATACATCTATTAAAAACTTAGACCAAATATTTATATTATTAAATGTTTTATTATTATTATTATTATTATTATTATTATTATTATTATTATTATTATTATTATTATTATTATTATTATTATTATTATTATTATTATTATTATTATTATTATTATTATTATTATTATTATTATTATTATTATTATTATTATTATTATTATATACATCAACATGATTATAAATTATAATCACAAATATTTTTTTTACCTGGTTTTATTTTCTGTAATTTAGCATAATTTTTCACACAGACTTGAAACATCTGTGATCACCTGATTATGTTTCAGGTATTATAGTGATTTCATCCATGTACTGTAGCTAATTTCTAATTGGTCTTCCCTATTTAACAATCCTACATTTGGTATCAGACAGATTAATAAACAATAAAAAATAAAATAAAAAACAATATTCAGATTATTCAGCAAATTGCTCAATTCTTTATTTGAAATTGCATCAATCATAAAACATGTTTTATTTTGACATTTTGTTGCTAAGGATACTAAAATACCTACTTTTTAGTCAAATAAATTAGAAAGTTTAAAAATGTGTTCTAATGTTACATTCATTTAAGTGTCTTCTGCCGTGATGAGGCATTTACATTCTGGCAAAAGGGCAAAGCCATTAAAGAAAGCGCCAGAACGCTGCAGATTCTAATCTGTGTGTTTCTCAACATTTCCTACAGGTATGTAAAATGGGTTATATAGATTAATATCTGTCAATATTGAAACTTAAGAGGTTCATAAATGTTCAGATATGATGTTTGTACTGTTAAAGTGATGGTCGAGTTTTAAAACAGATTAGTTTATTTGCGATTCAGTGTAATGATGTAATTTCTAGTTGAGTAAACAGAGTTAAAAATTCATGATACTGTTAAAAATGTGAAGTGTAAGTAAGAAATGTGAAACAATCTACATTCCCTGTGTAATCTTGATAGATTTACCAGGTTGAGCTGAACAATGTGCTATACTGACTTTAGTCCATTTTGTTTATGTGGTTTTCTGTAAAATTTACACTTGTAAGGGTTAAAAACATCATACCTGTATCAATTAAGACTGTTGATTTTTATTAACTGGTTATTCCATCAAATATAAGTGCTGTTGCATTGTAGTGAATCTGAGACACTATATCTAAAATAGACAAAGTGAAACATTAAAGACCAATTGAAGTGTTGAGTGAACACATATGCTGATGGTAAGGCACAAGACAGGTGTTTAGTTGTATCTAGATGTTTATTGTTGCATAAAAATGTACAACCAAACAGAAATGTTCAAATGCATTACATTCGTCGACTTAATGGACATCAATTTAAATGCTGTGAATTGACTTGTCCAGAAAGCATGACCTGTAAAGGAATATTGTTAATAGTTATGATTTCAAATGTGTTATATTTGCCTGTTATTTGCAAGAAGAGAAAAAAAAGTAAGAAAAAGGAAAAAGACATTAAAGAAAGCGCCAGAACACTGTAGATTCTAATCTGTGTGTATCTTATCATTTCCTACAGTTACTAGCTCTCATCCTTCCATGTTTGAGGCCGGTTACGTATAGAGCGACTGAATCCCACTGATGTCATCACTGGACAGAGAGAAACTATCCGGATCAGTAAAGCTGTATGTGGGACTTTGTTGTGAATCTCGAATCTCAGAGGAGTGACATTGGCCCAGACCTGCAGGGCTTTCTTTATGGATTTATCCACTTTGACATGTGACATGTCAGGGGTGTAGTTCACGATTCTGTGAAAAAGGACCATAATCTGTATCTGATACACACCTGTAGGTGAGCTTGGTGGTCTGCCATTTGGGGTTGCCTCCAAATGTGGAGTACGCAGCAACATCTGGAACTCCACAGCGGGGCTTCTTCATCACCTCCAGTGTTTTTTTGTCCAGCTTTCCAGAGACCTTAAGCCCGAAAAACTTCTGCATCTCTTTCAATGTATCGGGTAGTGGATCTGGCTGCCGGGCTGTGGGATCAGGAGGCTTATATACCAGATTGTAGAAGCTCATCAAATATTCCTAAAAATAAAAAACAAGGATTATTATATTAACCAGTGAATATGACCAAAACAGTAAACAACTATATATATATATATATATATATATATATATATATAAAACAAACCTTTGCGATTTTATAATCGTCAACGGGCTTTAAAGTCGGTGCAGTGTGAATGACGAGCACCAAGCTCGCAAGAAAACACAGCTGGCGGCGAATCCCCATGTTGAGAGTTGCTTCTTCTGCTTGTGTGCTTCGCTTCTGATTGAGAAAGGTCTGATGACGACTTATATACTCTTAAAACTGTGAGGTGTTGAGCAACAGGTGAAATTAAACCATCAAACTGACAGGCAAGGCAATTATAACAGGATTTTCAGCTCGAATGAACATTATATGTTCAATTAATCATAAATCACGTTTAGTGATGGGTCTTAGAAGGAACTGGATAAATGGCATTATAATGATTTATTGATATTACATGATTTGCTCATTAATTAATTAAACATAAATAATTACATACCAATATTTGCTGAGGAAAAAAAAAATCTAAATGCCCTAAAAACAATTTAAGGACTAATTATTGTTACAGACAGGGGCGCTAAATCGACAACACAAAAACTGGCTTTT